CGTGCGTTGTGTGTTATACAGGGGGTAACGAGGGGCGATCAGCCTCTAACGACCACCTCCGCTTTGTTTTTAAAACATATAAATATAAAAAATATAACAGCGAATGTCTGGGCGACAGTGATTGGCCTACATGTTATGAATGCTGGCATACCATAAATGACAAATTACGAACAGTTTAGTTTGTGCCTTCAAGTCGTTGCCCATAGGAAGACGTTACTTGGATATAACCTAACGGAATATCTTCAGAACGGCTCCACATGACACAAAACTAATATGGGTGAGTAGAAAATGATGGAATAACGTAAAATCAAGGGGGCAATGTAAAAAAGTCGGTGTTCCCCTTTAAATACAGTAACGAAGTATTTGTACTTTGTTACTTGACCCCTCTGGCAGCAGCACAGCAGATATTTCTCTCCAGGATGGAGTCACAGCCAAACAGGGAGAGACGAGGCTACTATGAGGAAAAGCAGAACGATAGAGATTTAATTAACAGATTCTGCAGCGTGGGAGAATAGAGACAACAGATTAATGGAGGCAGAAGCTGGCCTTCAGGCAATAAAACATATCCAGCGACACTATTTAAATCTGGGCACCGTTTCATTCACAACACCTGTCCCATCAACCAGGAATCCGAATCAGAAATACTTTAATAATCCCAGGGAGGGATTACTTTAGTTACATTAATCCATCTGTAACAGAGTGACTATAGGACCAGTTTGATAGAACACTATTTCATACTATATATATAAAATAAGGGGGTCCCTGCTACAGCTCGCCATCAGTTTGGGGGTCCCTGGCCTGGAAAACGTTGAGGACCACTGTTGTACAGTTTGAGCTGTTGCTGCGTGAAACGATTGAAAATATCGTACAGTGTATGGCCTGCCTTCCTAATGCTGCTGCTAATCATCAAAACTAACAAAACTAAAGGCATGGAAATCATCCCATGTCTAAAGGATCTAACACACAAAATACATTTGAATAAAATTACTTCATTCCCATAAGTCCCTAAA